CTTTATTTAATCAGTCTCTTCTAGATGGACATGTAGGTTTCTATTGTTAACAGAATTGCAATATATAATTTTATTTATACTTTTGCTCCATTGAATTGTTCCTCCAGCTGTATTCTTAATGATTGCCTGCGATTCAACATACGTGCATATTTTGAATTATTTGAATACACACTGCCAGATCATCTCCTGTAGAAAAGGTTTTGTACCAAATTATGAAAGAATGCTGGTTTACTTAACACCTTCACCAGCAATGTTTGATATTTACCAGTGTAAGTAGTGGTATCTCATTCTTTTACATTAGCACTTCCTCATTACTAGTGAACTTAAAAACTACTTATTTCTAAAGGCCAGGAACTTCTAAATAAATAACTAATTAGCCCAAGAAAAATAATAATGGAAACTTACATACTGTTAGAGTCAAGGGATAATGAAAACATTGTGTATCCAACTTCAGACATATCTACAGCACTTGGTTATAATCACCTTAAATGTTCATTTGAGAAAAGAGAAAAAGTTCAAAACTGAAGTATTAAGCATTCAACTTAATTTCCAGTACAAGAAATTAGGGAGAGTAGCTCTGTAGAAGGAAGGAAATGATGAACATAAAGCAAAAAATTTAATAAAGAGGATCAACTAACTGCCGATAATTTGTCCTTTGAAGAAACATAGAAAAACCTTTCAGGAAGATTGATGATAGGAAAAAAAGCAGGGATAAGTGATACTATAATGAAGAAGAGGTAAGTATACTAAAGTAGAGGCTTTAAAATTTGTAAGAAAACCGTGAAAACTTATGCCATTAATTTTTAAATGTTAAAAGAAATGGAAAATTTCCTGGGAAAATATAATTTAGGAAAACTGACTCAAGAAGAAATAGAAGACATCATCTCTTAAAACTCTTAAATTGACTTAGTCTTTTTAAATCCATCGAGGAAACAAACAAGAAACAAGTTCAGACAGTTTTCAAATAAGGTCTGAACCGTCTTCCAGAGAAATAAAATTTAAAAAAAAGAAGAAGAAGAAAGAAAAAGAAACCAGCCTAATTTGTCTGATAAATCTGGTATAACCTTGATACTCAAACCAGATAAGGAAAGGAATATTATAGGCTAATTCTACTTACAAACATAGACATATTGACCCTAAATGAAATATTAGCAAGCCAAATCCATCAGTGTATTTTTTTTAAATCATGACTTAATTGGGTTCAGGGATATAATATATATGGAGTAACTTTAAAAGGAATGTATGAGAATGATAAAACACAATTCAGGGTAGAGCTTTCGTCCAGAGGGAAGGGATGAGGATGTGATTTGGGAGAAGTGCGTGAGGAGACTTTAGTTGTTTTGTACATTTAATTTTTTAAGGCGGGTTGTGGGTACACAGATGTTCATTTTTGCCCTTTTGTATATTTTAAATATTTCATGCTGTAGTGTTAGGCTTAACAGCTTGGTGAGTGTAAACACCTCTTTGAAATACTGTTCTTTTTGTGGAATTGCTTACACCCATTTCCCTTGGAACCATACAGACAAGTTTTTAAATGTTTGTGTATAAATCTGCGTGAAATAAAGCATACTCCAAATGAGTGTTCATGGACTTCAAGCATTTCAGGGGCTTGTAGGGAAGAAAAAAGACTCTCGGCTCTTTTGTATTCATATGAAAGTAAGTGTCTTTGGAGGTAAAGTTTCAGGCTTGCTAGAACTTAGTTTTTTCCATCTCTAGTATTAAAAGAAATACTTTGGAGTTTTAGGTAGATGAGAAGTTTAATACAGGCTAGGAATTGACATGTTAGAGTTTCTAGCAATCATTCACCAAATAATAACAGAACATTTACTATGTGCAGATATGGTGTTGAGCTGTGGGTGTGTATAGACATGTAAGTTGTAGTCTTTGACCTCAAGAAGCTCAGAATTTAGTAGATGAAATAAGTGATCCAGATATTTAACTATAGGTACCGTAATAGTTACAAGCAATTTGGAATATTTCTTCCCTGATGGGAATTAGTTTTCCCCATCTTCCCTATAGCAGTTTGTGTGTGTGCGTGTATGTGTTTTAACTTTGTTTAAAAAGTTATGTGTATATTTTGGAAAATAATCTAAGCCTTTTGTACTACTTTTAGGGGAAATCAGTTCCTCTTTAATGCTGAAAATAAAGTTTACTCAGACTTTTTTTACCCATTGATAAATGATATAGCTTCACTCAGAATTAAAAGGGGTGTGATAGGCTGTCAGACGTACTGTAGAAATTGAGATTTGTCTCTTTCATTGGATTGCCATTCGAATTATCCTATTTAAAAGGTACATGAAATGTTTAGCTTTAAGAAGTGAATCTTTGCAAACATTCAATACTGTCTTTTTACGAGATAGATAAACTGTTTGCAAATGGGTCTTTTTTTCTTTTTTTTTAGTACTGCTTCAAAATGTGGGGTCTTTCATGTAGGATGCCTTGCCTCTTTTTTCTCTTAAGTACTCACGTCATTACATTATATCCTTGGTTTAAGACCTATTAAAGCAGTGATACCTTCTGAGACTGTTTGCAGGTTACTCTTCTAAAATGTGAGTATTCCTAACTTATGATGATCTGTGCCCATGACTTCATTTTTAGAATTTAAGTTGCTCCTGATGTATAGAAACAATCATCAGTTTTGACTTAATTTCAAAGTTTATTTACATTCTCAAAGATTTATTTTACCCCTTCTTTTTTGACTTGTTTTTACTTTATGTATTCTCCCTCAGACAGTTCAGTAGTTTAGTACTCAAGAGTAGTGGATCTGAGTCAATTTGTTTGAGCCTGTTTGATGTAGAAAGTCTCTATGAAAGGGTAAATTTGACATAGTTTCTTCATGTGTAATATCTCCTTAAATAGAGCTTTTTGTAGCCCCTATCATGGGATGCATATCATTGGCTGCATATAACTTAAAGTCCATCATGGGGGCTCTAAGATAAGAAGTTGATTTTTCTCTCATTTCATGAAGTCTAGAATTAGAAAGTGCAGAGGTAAGAAGAAGTTTTACAGTATCAGGGAATCAGGCTGCTTTTGTCTTAACTGTTCTTCCATACTTACTCATAACCTCATGAACCCAAATGGCTACTTGAGCTCCAGCTGTCATATCTAGACTCGAGGCAGCAAGAATGAAGAAGGGCAGAAAGGCAAAAGGGTCTTGGCTGCATCTGTTGCCAGGGAGGCTAAAATATATAGTGTTTTATTTCTGCCACAGTGCACCTAGCTAGATATCTGGGTTGTGTTCATTGTGAAGGAATGGTGGGATGGATGTTGGGGGGATCAACTTGGGAGCCTCTACCTCACAGTTGTTTCCCAATTTTAATAGGAAAATAGCAGAAAACCTGGTGGTGTTCAGATGGCTCAGTATTTGGGTTATGTTGTAACCATGGGAAGTGATGCTGAGAAACCTCCATTCTGCCTGTTAATTTGAACTTATCCTAATCACTGTCATTTTTATGCTACTATTTCTAGCTGTATGTGCTAAACTCTTCATTTTATGTAATTCCCACAGCATTACCAGGTAGGCACCATCCATTCCATGTCACAGCTGATAAAACCCAGACACAGAGAGATTGTATAACTTGCCTAAGTCCTCACAGCTAGTAGGTGGCGAGTCAGGCATACAGGCTGCTGCATAAGATCAACATTGCTAATTGCTTCTGTGCTCTCCTTATTAATCTGCCCACCTGTGTATCTGTCCCTCAGACCCCGCTGCCGCCCCGTCCCTCCTCTTGGACATAAAAATCATTTGAGCTTGCTCAAACATACACAAAGAACAGAAAAACAAAAAGATAAGCAGATTGAAAACAATAGAGTGAGAAAATATAATGAAGTTGAGGTATAATTGATGCACAGAATTGAATGCTACATGATCCTATAGAGGTGCTAAAAGCCTTGATCTGACTTCACATTGGGTCCTATCAGAAACCAAAAGACAGAAAAACAAGATTGAAATTTTTGACATCTTCATTTTTTCAAGTAATTCATATTTTCATATGTTTATATTCATATATTCACATTCATACAAGAATTTGAATCCTTATCAAGAATACTAGTTCTTCATATTGTGGCTTCGGGGAATTATAAAGATAATTATAATATTATTACTAGTATTTGCTGATTTTCTCTTTGTGGGGTAGGTGAGTTGAATTACCATTAGTTATTTTTTAAGATGTGGAAACCCAGTCAAAGAGCGACTGTTTTAGCGGGATGTGAATCACATGCTTAGTAAAAACGAGGGGTCATTTTTGTTTGTTTGTGTGTAGAAATACTCCTGTCATAGTTTTGAAAAGATACATATTTTGGAAGATTGGGATCTTTGATAAAAATGATATTGTGCTAAGTAACGATTTGTTAGCGCTGTCAGCACACACCGAGGTTTGTGAATTCCTTCAGCACAAAGCTTTTGCCTTATTCCTTTTTCCTCCAGTATCCTCAGTGTATAGAGATGTTCAGTAAGTGAAGAATGGATGAATGACTAGTGAATGAGAGAAGTCTGTCAATAGGTGTTACAATTAATATTGCTGCCTCTTTAAACTGAAGTAAGTTAACGGCTCTACTTGAAATAGAGGGAAAATGGGTTATCCTTTTTATAGCCCTTGGTTGTATGAGGTGGGTTATAATACCATCAGTGGCTGGACATTGGGACCACAAGGTTCAGCCCGTGAACGTGGTGTCTTTGGAGAATCATCGTAATTTGGTGCACTTGGAGCATGGTGGTTGTAGAGGCAAGTCGTGGGAGGGAAGTCTGGCAAGCTCCTGGTGTGGAAAAGTTACTTATTAATTTTAAGGAATGAAAGTTAGTCCCAGAAGGATTTTATGACTTGTTATCTTTTTAAAAGTGACATTTTTCGTGGGGAAAAGAAGGGACAAGATTCGAGTAACACTGGAAAAATAAATAATAGAGATTCACTTCCTGCATTTTAGTTTCTAAGATTATTTTTGAAAAATAACATTTAATGGAACATTTGGGTTTAATCATTTTATTTTGTTTTATTTCTCAGGATGTGAACTTCGTGGTGGGAAGCTAAGTTTTTAAACTACCCCAATGGATGCAGACAGTGATGTTGCATTGGACATTCTAATTACAAATGTAGTCTGTGTTTTTAGAACAAGATGCCATTTGAACTTAAGGAAGATTGCTTTGGAGGGAGCAAATGTAATTTATAAGCGTGATGTTGGAGTAAGTATCTGAATTTTGTCATGTGTGCTACATAGCCTAATTTTATAGAGCCATGAATGATACACTAGAAGTTATTCATTCTACAGATGGTTTATGAGCACCTTACCATATGCTGGTCTTACGTGATCTTGCAGGGAGCCCTGTAGAAGTGGCCTCCCCTCTCATGCAGTGGCAGCTGTTGGAGATCCTAGACTCCAGGTCTTGGCAAAGAACTCACCAGCTGCTAGACTTACTGTTCTCTCAGTTTCTTTTCTTGAAGAAAGGACATTGATACTTCCATGTATGCTTATCCAAATAGAACTATAGACAAATACCCTAATATGTATATTGTAATTTTTGTAGTATGTTGTCATACCCCTTTTGAATTAGCCGAGGTACTTGATACTCTTCAGTAACAAATTACAGAAAGCAGTATGGTTCATATCCTCACTTGGACATTTTAAATTTTAGTTTTTATTGAGCCTATAATATTTAAAATAAAAGCTGATAACTTGCTTTTAACCTTAGTGTTTTGAGATTAACATAAAATACAATGGGTGTTCATTTGGCTTTTATGGAATGAAGATTGATGACAGTATCTTACACATTTATTATAAACATTAAGAATGTGTATGAAAGGCTCTAAATATTTAAGCTCTAAAAATCAGATGCCAGTATACCTTCGTCAATTTTCATTAGTTATTATTACTATAAACTAAGTAAAGATGAATTAAATTCAATTAAAAATTTCAGTGGGTCACAGAGATTTTCAATCCATAATCCCATCTTCACTTTAAGAAAGGAATAAATACATCTAAAAAGAGAAAAAGGCTTATTGCTGCTTTCGAACTTTAGCATCCCTGGGGCAGAGAAGTCATTTTTCCTAGGCAGGTTAACTGAAAAATCTGAGTTAACTGAAAAAGCTGGTAGTGAAGGACAGTTAAACATGGAATAAACTCAGCCACTTGTGTATGAAGTTTTATCATGTGTTTTAGCTCAGATTTTACTTTGGGTTTGTGGTAAGCTTTGTCTCCCCAGATTTAATTCCTAGTTTGATAATATGGCATATGTCAGAGAAAGGGAGGAATTCAAAGTGTTACAAGAGTTTTAAGGAGAAATGTCATTTATTTGTTAACCAGTAAACATTTCTCTCTCTCATGCATAATGGACATACCATAAATATTTACATAACTGAAAAGTTGCAGTGAAAATTTAAATTCACATGTTATCTTTGATCTTAGCCCTTGACCTATTTATACTCACACTGTAGGTAATTTCATTCAAACCCATAGCTTTAAGTGCCTTTCATTTCTAAGGAATCTAAAATTACATCTCCAGCTCCAACATTCCTCCTGCGTTCATGATTTGCATGTCGACCTTGAGTACATGATAGGCATCTCGGCAGTAAGACACAGGATAACATAGTCATGGGAACCAGGAACAGAATAAAGCAGGGTTAGAAGTCAGAGAGCAAGGAAGGGATGGGTGTTTCGGTTGAATGATCAGGAAAGGCTTCTCTGTGGAGATGACATCAGGTGTGAGAGACCTGAATGAAATGAGAATACTGAAGGGAGAGCATTCCAGATGGAAGTAACAGCCTCGCGAAGCCCCTGAGGTGTGGACAAGTTCCGCGCGTTTGAGGATCCGGGCAAAGTGCAAATTCTAGTTGTGTGAATGGAGCAGAGTGAGAGGACGTGTTCCTACGGTGGTACATTGATTTCAAGTCTTAGAGGGCGACAGGTTTATACAGACCTTGAGTTTTTACTTAATGACATGTCCTCTTGGATTAACATGTTCTTTGTGTTCAGTGTAGTTCTTGATTTCAGAATGAGTGATTTGGAGGACAGTTATTTCAGTCTTGGGTAAGCTTGCAGTAGTATTTAAGCATTAAAATGACCACATAGAGCAGAGCTGTGTGTGAAAAGTAACATTTATTATGTAATCAGGTTATTGGGGTTTTTTTTGTTTTTTGTTTTTCCAGAAAGTATTAATGAAGCTTAGAAAACCTAGAATTACAGCTACAATTTGGTCCTCAGGAAAAATTATTTGCACTGGAGCAACAAGGTAAATGTTACTTGGGTTTTTAATTTTAATTTTTTAATTTCCCCCTCATGGAAAGGACATTTTTCTAGACTTAAAAACAAAATGACTTGTACAGGGTGCCTTGTTCCTCAGTATAAAATTTATTTCCTGGGTAACTGGTAACCTTTCTCTTTCTTTCAAACCATAGTGAAGAAGAAGCTAAATTTGGTGCCAGGCGTTTAGCCCGCAGTCTCCAGAAGTTAGGATTTCAGGTAACATTTTCGAAAAAATATCCAAATTGCAAATATTCAGTGATTTATTTTTGTAAAGTTAATACTTTTCATTTAATGGACTAAAGAAATCCCCACAGAAAGTCCTCTTATGATTGACCTTTTTCTGGGTTTTATTATACTGTCCTTCAGCGTAAAAATTTAGTAGCAAAACTTGCCCCTGTGGCTGTTTGTAAAGGATCCTGGCTTTTTCCCAGATCCCTTTCGCATAGAGAGAGAGACTTGTTCCTTACAAGTGAACTGCCTTTTCAACTCTACATTTTTCACTTCTCATTTTAAAAAACAGCCTGTTTTTGACTCATAAGAATGCAGTGTCAGGATGATGATGTCGGGGTGTTGGTGGTGGCCGAGTGCAGCATAGAGAGCCGTGATCGACAGTGCAGCCGCTTCACACGCTTTGTGACTTTCTCCCACTGCCTTGTGCCAGTACTGAGATGGAGGATGCTTAGTTCATCCAGATGTGTAGTTTTGCTGGGAACAGTTGAAAAGATAACAAGATAAAACCGTTAAAATATTGGTAGGAGTGGCTGAAGTGTTTAACATTGAGAGGACATTATTTTTAGCCTTAGAGCCTTTTCTCTTAGCATAACATTAGAAGTGTTGAGAGAAATCCCAATGAGTTAAAAAAAAAAAAAACCTTATCACTCTGTTCCTCGTTCTGTCTCCGCAAAGAAACAAACATCTGACTGAACACAGAAATGTCATTTTACCTTACTGCATATAAGAAAAAGTCTGGCCTTTGGAGCTAAGTGTCCACTGTTTTTTTGTGTTTTAATGACAACTTTTCCATTTTGACTCTTCAAGGAGGACTCAGCTTTAACCTTTTCTTCACTGTTCTCCTTCCTATCCCAGTAGATTAAATATCCCATTTAAAAAATTAAATATAAGATTCAGAAGACCCCAGATGTACTGTTGTAATCATGCAGTTATCTCACACTTCATTTTTTTTAATGAAGTTTTTGAGCCTTCCCCTCACACCCTTTTAATTATAGTATTAAGGATTCCCTGGTAACTTAAAATATTAAATCCATGCTTTAAGTGTTTGTTTTATCTTGTTTGCTCTTATTTTTAAGGATTGAAATTTAATGATTAAGATTGCCCTGATGAGCAGATTGTTTGTTTTGTCTCAAAGTAATTCATTGGTTTTACTTCTCTCCTGAAGGTAATATTTACAGATTTTAAGGTTGTTAATGTTTTGGCCGTGTGTAACATGCCATTTGAAATCCGTTTGCCAGAGTTCACAAAGAACAATAGACCTCATGCCAGGTAGGTCTTTGAAGAGTCAAGACAACTTACCAATTTTGAAAATACTTGTCAGGCTATAAGTATTTAGATTAATTGTGGCTTTTCTATGTGTAGTTACGAACCTGAACTTCATCCTGCTGTGTGCTACCGGATAAAATCTCTGAGAGCTACACTGCAGATTTTTTCAACGGGAAGTATCACAGTAACAGGTATTTTATGACATTGACATCAAGCTTGTCACTTATGGATTGAGTGTGATAAGAGGTGTCCAGGCCAAAATAGAAAATAATGTCTGCTTTGTCCCCTTCAGTCACTTGCCCTTCTCAGGGAGCCAGTCTCCTGACTTTTAACACAGGAGATTAGTTCTGCCTGCTTTTAAATACTGTTGTGTGTCTGTCTGCTGTATCTTCATCATGATCTTGCTGAGAGTCATCTGTACTGTTCCGTGTAGTTGTGCATCAGTCTCTTGTATTGCTGTTTAGTACCCAGTGTGTGAATACATTGTTCATGGGCATTTGGATAGATTCCAAACGTTTGAAATTAAGAATGTTCTAGTATATATTTTTATATGTAATTTTTAAGTTGATGACATCTTGCTTTTAAAGTACTCAAGAGAAACCCATTCTATGAACTTCATGGAGGTTTCACATAAGTGAAGTATTTGAATATAATCGGTACTTATTTGTTATGTTTAATGTGTTTTTTGTTACATCTTTTGAGCCTTTTTAATTGTTTGGAAGGGGTGGTTTCCGATGACGAGGCATAGATGTCAAAGGGTAGTGTTAGCATGCAGGGTGATTTTTTTTAATGGTACTGTGGTTATAAATTGTACAGAGATGTTAATTTGGAAGTCCCACCCAGCCTTTGGCAGAATTGAATTCAGGAAAATTCCTTTAGTATCCTTGAATTTTCTTCTTATTCCTTCAATCCTTAGAGGAAACTAAAAATGATTGCGTAACACCTGTAAACCTTCAGTGAAAAAGCTTTAATTTTGATTCATTCATGGATTTTGATATCTTCCTTGGAGACTTTTAAAGGTTTTTGCCTGGGTCATGGCCTGAATCTTAAAAATAGAGTGGGGAACAAGTCTATTTATTTCTGTCTTTTGACTTGCTGCTTCCACACTTTGGAGCCCAGATTTCACCAAGTCCCCAAGATCTATTGATAACTCCCTAAGTGTGGAATAAAATAATGCATATGTAAAATACATATTAAGTTAGTAAATAATGAAACAATGCAGTAGCAAGCTGAAGACCATTGACCCGGTCAGTTAGTATGCATTGGACAGTAGCATCTGGAATATCCTATGCAATGTGAACGATTCAGCAGACGTGTACTGAATGGTTCTCGTGGACACAGCCCTGTACTGTGTGGACAGGCTGAGGTGAGTCAGGAAGGGGCGGACCAGGGTAAGATGTGGTCATTTCCTCCAAAGGGGTCACAGTGGCTGCGTATATACACTTTTAGGATCTTTTAAAAGGTAAGTGTACTTTAGTGAAAAAAAACATTTTTATTCAAAATAAATTTTATGGAAATGTTTTTCGTTGTCCTTTTTTACGTTTTTTTCTAGCTGTCTGGATGAAAGATTACATTTTTTTAAAGTCATTCCAAGCATTATATGAATTAACTAATATATAGCATCACCTCATTCCTTTGTGCTTTTTTTTTTTTTAATTGACAGAGTAAGCTGTGAGGGTGAATGTTCAGATTAGTAGTAAACACATGAATACTGAAGGGGTAAATTTGGGGGGACGTTTAGACCATGCGGTTTGTAACAGCCCCCAGGTTTTTCAGCACCTGGGTAACAGCTCTGTCTAACTCTGCTGGGATCCTTGGTAATCCCTGAGCTTCAGTCGTACCCTACCCAAACGCCAGACGACAGCAAGCAAGAGGCTAAGCCTTGTCTAGTCTCGTTTGTCATCCCTTTCTTTAATACGCCTGTGATAGCACTTGGCATTCTCCGTGTGCATCTGTGAGGGTTTTTATATACTTTCTTCTCAGTGGTGCCCAGAACAAGATGAATATCATCATTTTGTGTTAATTGTCCAGAAAAAACCCTTATTCTCTTGGTTCTTACTCTATGTGTGTAATTCTGTAAGTGTAGATTGTTTTTAGAAGACACTTAACCCGACATTCTCAACTCCCTGGGTGTCTGTAATTCTGGGAATCCAGCGCTCTCTGTTGCCTCTGCTCACCCCGGCCTTCCTCTGCTGTGTTTTTGCTCCAGGGCCCAATGTAAAGGCTGTTGCTACTGCTGTGGAGCAGATTTACCCGTTTGTGTTCGAAAGCAGGAAAGAAATTTTATAATTCATCACTTAACTGGTTAGAATCCCTAACTGAGCACCTTTGAAAACCTGCTGCACATTGGACTCAAAACAAAAGGAAAACTGGACCAACAGTAATTGAGGAAATAGACTCTTTTATTCATTCACGGCTACAGTGTAAGCTCCAGTCTCTTTGGATCTTATTTCAAACCTTGCTGTAATATAAAAAGGAAGTTTACAAGACATGACATTGCTGCTTTTACAAATGGACATTCTATTTATTTTCGCAGTAATTTTCATGTCCCCGTAAGCAGAGCTGTCACAGTGTGCACTACCTTAAATTGTTGTGTTGTTGTCATTATTTTTTTCCAGTTTGAGCTAATGTTTTATTTGTGAATAGTCTTTTACATTTTTGTATGCTGAATATGGGCACCAAAGAACCTGTAAAAGTTATCTTTTTCAATTGAATGTGCACAAATAAAAGTTTGGAAAAGATCTCTCTTCATATCCATTCTGTAACTTTTATTCCCCATTTTCTATTTTAACAAAAATTGTACTCATAATTCTTTTTTTTTAATCTATGCAAGCTTAGACTTTTGCTGAAGTGTGTTGGCTTCTTTTTGAAGTGTATTTTGTAAATATATATATATATATATATAAATGTAAATATATATATATATATGCGACGTGTGTATAGTATCTTTTAATGCTCTGTTACCAAATATCAAATAGAAATTTTTTTCTTGCAGATTAGAAATAAAAACATGTATATAAATTCTAGGGAACCGGAGTAGAGCTTTATAGATTAAACATAATGTTTTATGTTGCTATTTTAACATGATAGAAAATGTTAACTATCTTTTAAAAGTTGCAGAATTGTAGTTTTAAAAAGAGGAACCTCTCACCTACAAGATGAAGATGAGAAAGAAGCTGTGACGGGTTGTACCTCAGATGTACCTTTGTTACTATGGAAAAACTCAAATCTAGTTGTTGGAAAGTAATCATCTTAGGTTGGGACTCAAGGCTAAACTGAGAGTCTTGTCAGAAGTTGAAACATTGTGCTGTCTTTAGCAAGAAGTGCCCCAAAGCTGCCTCTGTGCCACAGTGTAATTATAATACAGTTCAACTTGAACTTGAAAGCCATTTTGCAAGATACGTCTTCCCCCTGGCTGTGTCTTATTTAATGAGGCTCAAAAGTGACTACTCAGTACACAGGATTGCTACTCTTAAACTTTTAATAAATACGCATCTGTGAAACAGTGGCTCTCCGGCTCACCCGTGAGCCCAGGAAGAGTAACTCAGGCTCATACTGCAGTCACGTTCTGCCATCTGTGTTCAGGAGTTTAGTATGACTAACAGTGATCTTACCTAGAAATAAAGCCGAGTGGAGATCAAATTAGCTTCCCAGTTAAAACTTATTAGAGATCATACTGCAACGCAATCTTCCAGTGAAACCTTTGTGAAAAACTGTAACATCTTAACCTCCATACTCTAGTACATTTTCCTTACCTTCTTCTCATATCTCGAAAACTGCACTGAACAATACCTACTAGTTCATGTTTATTGTCTTTCTTCCCATTGCCTTCCCTTGCCCTGCCTCTCACTCTCTCATAAGTGAGAGGGCAGAGGTTAACTTTTATTATATTTTCTTTCTTGAGGACTGGATTGTGATTTTCAGACTTCTCATTCTTTACATTTGTGTTCATTTGCTTCATTTGAAGATCCAGTAAGATAGGCAACCTCATAAAATACACAGAATAAAATTCAGTGAGAGTTACAGGTTCTGGGCAGACAGTTTCAAACCTTGAGGTTTTCCACTTACATTGAATGAATTTAATAAGTGACCTCCTGTTTTGCTATGTTCACAAAAAAGAAAAAAAAGGAAAAAAAGAGAAGAACTATAGAAGAGGGGGTAGAGCACGATTGTATAGCCAGGGTGCAGATCCAGATGTCATATATTTTTCAGTATTCATGTGACTTGAAAATAGGTAGGTCAGTAGCTCATCAAAATGCTTTCTCAGAAAGAGGAGGAAAGACAATCTGATCAGGTCTGAAACCAGACCTGGTTTCGGGGCTGCTGCTGGGGCGTGGCCTGGCACGGCGCCGTGGGTGACCTACTTACACGTGACAGAGCTGGTAAGAAGTGAGCATGTCTGGTGTCTTCTGGCTTTTCACAAGTGCTGTACATTTTTTTTTATAAATAAAAACTGAATATCTACATACAAATTATCAGTATTCCCCCTTTTTTATTTTTAAAAGTCAGTAAGCTCGAATTGGGGGTGTACTGGGTAAAAATTAGTTTGAAGACAGAATTGTTTTCATTATACGCTCTGGATAATAAAAGGAAAATATGAGTGTTGAAGATACTGAAGTTGAAACCACATAGTGATAAACCTACTAGGTTTATAAACAGTTTCCTGCCCATTTGCAGTGCAGGGCTAAACCAAGAAATACCTGAAGTATATACAGTATTTGAACTTCACAGCCAATATGTAACAGTTTTGGTAGATATCTTATAATCTGTGATGCTTAGCAAAGAAAAGAAAATTCATATTGATTACCTGTCTTGATTTTTTTTTTAATCTCAGCATATAATTCCACTGAAGGTTCATAATAAATTTAAATTGATCCTCGACAGAACACATTTTTCCTTCTCCTTCCAAAACAAATGAACAAAGTAGCGTTTGCTCTAAGTGGTGTATGAAACACCGTGTAGAATGGAGATGGCAAATCTCCTTTCCTCATAACTTCCACTACCAATTTTAATTTAGATACTATGTTTCAGAACCAGGTCTTTGAGTCATTCTCCCGAGTTTCTGATAATGCAGTTTTACTATTGGTCACATAGATTGTGGTCTTACCACTTCATTACAGGGGGCTGCAGTAGATCATATACCCTTATATCAAACTGGGACAGTTGGTTACGGGGCCAATAGAAAAATTTCAGTCTAATAAAAAGGAGTTTTGACTCTTGGGATTCTCTTTTCTTCAGGTTAATCATTTCTGTATTCTTTTTCAAATTAGGTTGTTCAATACTTTTTGTGTTTCCCAAAGCTTATATTACTAGTGGTTTAATGGGTCACTGCATAAGTGGTTTAAGATTCTTTATTGTAGATTTTCTATCATCGTATCCAAATTCAGTGGGTAAAATGCCTCCCCAGGTCTTAAAACTCAACTGGAGAAATACAGAAGAGTGCAATACACTGTGGTGTGGGTGAAACCCAAGTATCTGGTACACTCGGTGATCTCTGTTTGGTCATAGAGAAGAGCACAGTGAGGGAATCGTCTGGATGTCACTCATTGTGTCTGCAGTCGTATGGAAGTGAGCATCAATTATTGCCCGTACGCCGTAACCTGAGGTAGTGATATTCCTGAGGAGTGTGAAGAGTTGTGGGAAATTATGGACTGCGGTTGAGTTACCATGAAAGCCTTACAAAAGAGAGAATTTTATAAGCTTGACTTATTAATAACTCAAACCTAATTACTTCCAGATTTGGATAAATATCCTAATGGCCTGACTCCTTTTCTCATGTCTTAATTTACAGATACTTCTAAATAAATCTGGCCCCATGATTTTGAAATTCTTACTATTGATATTCTTTTAAAAAATGGATGGAAAAATGTTTATTTTTTTCAACTACTACAGAATCGTTTCTTTTAATACTTTATAATACTAACATCAAATTCATGAAAGGATATTTTGCATTACATTGTAGTTCATAATTCATAAAATAAGATGTATAATCTCTATAGTTGTTGAACTGTTATTAGGAATTATCACTAAAATCCTAACCAGGACCCTGTCTAACCCAGAAGATGTGTGCAATTGTCCACACTGTGTCCTGGTTCTTTTTGACACAAGACCCAGTGCAAGTAGTGTCTTCATAGGCAAAACCTATAAGCTTATGTTCAGACCACTTCTGTGTCTGAATGATAAAGCCACAGCTGGCCTCGAGGCATACAAGCCTTACGGTAAAAGGTAATGGCATCACTGGTCCATAGTCTTTCAAAGGCTGCTCTGAAAAAAAGTTGGAAGATACTGAACCAGCTGGTATTATTTTTAACCTGGTGTTCTGCTCAGAGTAGGAAAGAGATCACTTGGAACCTTGTACCTTATCTCCCTTTTCTGGTTGCTTTTGGGGTGTAGAGATTAAAGATTGTTTCTATAAAACTAGCTCCCCTGAAACTGAAGAGAAAACATGGGAGTGGCCAACGTGTATCAGCGGGAAGACACTCGTAAGTGTCCTTACACTGCATCACCATCTGTAAGGCTTTGAGACCACTAGGTCTCTGGAGAAAGCTACATTGGTTGTCTCCTGCCCCGCAGCTTTTTAGACTCCGAGAACTGTTCTTGGGGTTTTCTTTTTTGAAGCAGTTTTGGCACTAATTCCTCTTGGTGATGACTCATGAAACAAATGTTGTTTTTCACATAGTTCCTGAAAGAGAAAGAGGCACTAATGAAAATGTCATTCTTAGTTTACAGTATTTGGGGGGAAAAATGTGCAGGCTATTATTTTTTAATCACTCTGGGGCTTTGATGTTTCAGCTGTGCAAAAAAAGACCAGTGTTTATTGCAAAACATTGATGTGTCATGAAAGTGCATCAACAGACCTTTGCTCAAATCTCATGCAAAGAGGTGCAAGGTGGGAGGTCTTCTCAGCACATAATCAGGGCATTCCTTTCTGCAGGGAAGGATTCCAGGATTCCAAGGGTAGTCTTACATAGAACTGATGGAGATAACATCCCAGATCCTCTCATTTTTTTCTCTCTTTTCAAGCTCTCCCAGTACACCCCCCCCCCATGCGCACACACATTCTGCCTTCTGCATTATCCCCTTGCTCCTGCATTAATGAATTCATGTCTACAGGATCATTCCCATCAGCATAATAACATGCTCTAGTATTTTATGTTAATTTTTTTAAAAGACCACCTTGGAACCTCTCTCTCCCTTTTCAGGTATCTTTTCTTATAATTTAACCCATTCACCGAGTGGCCACAACATGCCTGCTGCTATGGCTGGTGCTGTGGATGAGTAAAGACCCTTGCTTTCAAGGAACTTAAGCGGAGACAAGCACACAAGCATATAATTTCAGGAGTGCTAAGGAGAAAAGGAAACTGGGAAAGGGATAAAGACTTACTTGAGGGATAGGGGACTGTCCCACACTGCTGGCATCTCTGAAGATTAGGTGACATTTGATCAGAGATGAGGGAACCGTGTGAAGACCTGCAGCTCAGCACTGTGTCGGGAAGCCTAGTGTGGGGGCGAGAGCAGGGCGAGCTGTGCGTGGCAGAGGGGAGGCAGGAGGGGAGGCTGGAGGGGTGGGCAGCAGCCACAGTTAAGCAGCTTGAATTTTGTCTGAAGTGTAGTAGGAGCCATAGGGTTTTGAGCTGGAGGAATGACATTTTAAAAAGATCCATCTAACTGCTGCATGAAGATAGACTGGAGAAGGCAGAGAGAAGAGAATGAGGTCCAGGACCGAGCCCTGAGTTGAAAGGAAGACGGTTTAGAGGCTCGCAGAATCCAGGTGAGAGACGGCGGCTTGGGTTTGGAACGCTGCTGGTGGGATGTATAGTCATGTGTTTTGTTAACAGAGCTAACACGACTTACAGATAGTGTCGACGGGGGGTGGGAGGAATAATGTGGGTGACCCCTAAGCTTCTGGTCCGAGGAGCACCCCTGCCCGGTTACCCTAAGCAAAAGCCTTGTGGAGGAATGTAGGTTGGGGGTGGGGAGGTCAACGGGACTGGGAATCAAGAGTTTTGTGTAGGTCATGTCAAGTTAGAGATACCTGTCGGACATTCCAACTGAAGAGGTTAAGTGGACAGTTAGATTTGGGAATTTGATAACCAAGTAAAAGGTCAGAGCCTAGAGATGTACATTTGGGAGGCATGAATGACTTTATGGCTTCTCAGCCCTGGGAACACATCTAAGAAGTGACTGTAGATAGCGATCTAAGGGTGTGCCCTGTGTATTCAAAGGAAGGGAGGAAGGGAGAGGAGGCAGAGGAGACCACGGAGTGGCTAATGAGGCTGGAGGAAAACCAGGAAAGTATAATATTCCAGAAGACAGGTTAAAAAAAAAAGTTTAAAGATAGGGAGCATGAGGAACTGGGCACGTGCTGCTGGGAAGTCCCGTAGTAGAAGCACTGCCCCTGAGGTGTGATGACTCAGCAGAAGCCATGGGAGCCTGGGGAGTAAGAATGCCTGAGTGGAGCAAGGTCTAGAAAGAATGGGAGGGGAGGACACGGGGACAACAAACACAGAGCACCCTGGAACTGAACGGTGGGCGCAGGGAGCTGGTGGGCACCCGGAGGGAGTTGGAGATTAGAGATCTAGGGAGGTATTTTGTTCAGGTTGGGAAATCCTGCAGCTCTGTGTGTGTGTTGCTGATGGTCCCACAGAAGGGGGACATCGATGACCTACTCAGGACAAATGGAAGAACTGGCCTTTGTAACAAGGCAGAGAAGGTGGGCTCAGAGGTAGGCAGTTTAGTAGATGGCGTGGAGGATGAGGTGGTCTCTCTATTTGTTTCTCTTTGTTTTCTCAGTGAACTAAAATACCAAGATCAGAGAGTGGGGCAGTGGGAAAGAGTGATGGAGCCTTGAGGAGAGAGAACAGGGTGTGAGCTGACCAGCTTGGACGGTAGGAAAATCAGCTCACCAGGGACATGGTAGATTGCAAGACACTCCCGAAGACCTACTTGAGATTTATGTTTGTCAGTTTAAAACTAGTCTTGTCAGCTGAGTTAAGTGTTTTCTCCAGCCATGTGTAGTTCCTTGGATGCAGGGATAAAACAAGCTAAGAATTGGCTTCATCAGAATTCAGGTTTGCCTGGATGATGGAGGCAGAGAGGACAGGGTAAAGGGAAGGGTGGTGCAGGGAATCCAAGCAGGGCAAGAAAGGGAGTAAGGACCTGGGTAATAGCTGTTTAGTGGATTCCCCGTCCTGGTGTGTTTGAAGTGCAGGTGTTTGAAAAAGTGAGCTGCAACGCAGAGTGGTCTGAGGGTGAGTGGGATGCTTGTGAGAGGAGCAGTGATGGGTACAGAGTCTAGGTTATGAGCTTCCTGTTGGCTCCCCTTCCCAGCAAAACTCGAAAGCATGGCCTGTAGTTGATGTCTTCATGAACTTCTGTCTCCTCAAATCTCAGTCCTCTGAGACCGTACCTGACAACTGATGGCCACCCCCTCTTTGTCCTCGGCCGCTGAGCAGCATTCAGCATCATCCAGTCACGCCTTCCTCCCGCACTCCTCTCGGCTCCAGTGATACCGTATTCTCCTGGCGCTTCTCCGGCCTCACTCACTGTTGGCTCCTTTTCAGTTGTTTTGATGCTCACTCTCCTCGGCCTGATCTCTAAACGTTGGCACGATCTAGGGCTTGGTCCTGGACCTCATTCTCTTCTCTCTACTCTCTGATGAGATGATCTCATCTGGTTCCATAACCTAAATACCACTTACTCCCAAATTTGCCCTAACCCTGAATGTCTCCAGAATTACATATTTATATATCCAGCTGCCAATGAATACTATTTCTACCTGAAGTCTATTGGCCATCTGTGTAATCCTTCCAGCCCTGAAACCTGTTCTTCTTTCAGGCTCCCCTAGTTTACCATCCATGCACTTTCTCAAGCTGAATTTTTTTTAGGGATCACCCTGACTACCTGATTGCCTCACTCCTACATCCACTTCATTCATTCATTTGTTCATTTGTTCGTTTATTCATTTCAATAATGAGCTTCAATTACATGTGAAGAGATGAATCCAGGTGCTGGGAAACAACAGTGAACAAAGTACACAAAATTCTCTGCTCTCCAGGAACTTAATATAGCAAGGGGAGAGAGACAAGAGACCAAACAAAATGCAGAGGGTACCAGCTTTAGAACAAAGCTGAAGGAGAGCAGAGGCAGAGTTGGGATAAGATTGGGATTTTAAATAGGGCGACAGGAAAATTCTGAAGGGGGTAAAGCAATGAGATAGGTGGATGGACATCTGGCAGAAGGGAATCTAGACAGAGGAAACCAGGACACAGACTCTGAGTCTTTGGCGTAGCTGGTGTGTTTGGGATGCGTCAAAAATGCCAGTGCAGCTGATGAGAGTGAATGAGCAGGCATGTAGCAGGAGATGAGGGCTGTCTGGGCCATCAGAGCCCCGGGAGGATTTGAGCAAAGGAACCGCTTAATCACATTTAGAGGGATCACTGGCTGCTGTGTGGAGAATAGATTGGAGGCTGAAAACAGGACCAGGCTGGTGGCTGCTAGAGTAACATGGGAGAGAGCATGGTGACCCCGATCAGGGGAGGAGCTGTGAAGGTGGCCAGGCTCAGGATCTATTTTGAAATAAGAGTCAACACTGTATTTTCTGGAAGATTGAACACAGGATGTGAGGGAAAGAGCTTCAGGGAAGACTCCAAGGTTTGTGGCCAGAGCAACTAGAAGGCTAAATCTGTTGACATCAACTGAGGTAGATAAGACAGAGGAGTGGGGTAGGTTTGGGAGACAATGGGGTTCAGTTTAGAACATGCTAAGTTTGAAATATTTGTTAGACCTTTGAGAAGAGAAGTAGTGCAAACAACTGAACAGAGAAGCCTGAATTCAGGAGAGGTGTCGAAGCTGGAGATGGAAATTTTGGATTCAGTGGCGGATGGATGGTATAAAGGCTGTTGGCTTTGAGGTTGAGTCAGTGAAGGTGATAGAGAAGCGGTCAGAGGATGAAGCCCTAGGGCACACCAGCTTTAAGATAGTGGAAGATAAGATAGAGCCAGAGAGGATGCTGAGGAGTGACTGGGAGGAGACAACCAGGAAGTTGGTCCCTGAAGGCAATGAAGCAAGTTTTTCTGGAAGGAGGGCTCGCTCACCTCAGTCAATGCTGGGGACAGTCACGATGCCAGCTGCTAAGACAAGGAGTAACAGCTGATCACTGGGTTTAACAATATGGTGGTAATGAGGATGTTAAAAAGAGCAATTTCAGTAGAGCGGTGGCCATAAACATCCCATGGGAGCAGGTTCATGAGAGAAAAGGAAGAAAGGAATTGCTGACAGTGAATATAGACAACTCTGGATGACTTTGCTATAAATGATAGCAAAGAAAAGAGGTGCAAATAAATGATAGGAGAAACCTAGGGAGGAAAATGGGATCAAAATGCTTTTTTCTTTTAAAGATGGGAAAACGATCAGGCAAGGCGTATATGCTGATGAGGAGCGGAGATCCAGGAGAGGGGGTAAGATGTAAGAGAGGTAAGATTTTGTTTTTCATCTGACAATGCCGTTCATATTCATGACATCATTTGGTTGTTGTTTCCTAATAATAAAGGAGGAGATTTAAGGCTGTTGGGCTGATACATATTTGAGGGTCCTCCCTCTCCACCTCCCCCACACACCACCGGGGTGAACAGGAGGAGGAGAAGGAAGATCAAGGCCCACAGCAAAGATTCATAATCTTGA